AATCAGGAGGTTCCTCAGCTTGGGAATGGAGATGAGCACCACCTTCATAGTGGGAAATGAAAGGAGAAGCCTTTACCTTCTTCTGTGTGTTTGTGCTTCATGCAAATGTGAGTAGATTAATAGGTACCACCTCAGCAGGAAAGGCAAAAAGATGGTCCATGTAGTCATGATGGCCACATGACAAGGAGGTGTCTATGGACAACGCAAGCTTCTCAGTTTAGGAATGGAGATGAGCACCACCTTCAAAGCTGGAAATGATAGGAGAAGCCTTTACCTTTTTCCGTGTGTTTGTGTTTTATGCATATGTGAATAGATCAATAGGTACTGCTTCAGCAGGAAAGGCAAAAGATGCTCCAAGTAGCCATGCCGGTCACACAATCAGAAGGTGGCATCGCAGGTTCCTCGGCTTAGGAATGGAGATGAACATCACCTTCAGAGCCGGAAATGAAAGGAGAAGCCTTTAACTTTTTATGTGTGTTTGTGTTTCATTCAAATGTGAATAGATCAATAAGTACTGCTTCAGCAGGAAAGGCATAAGATGCTCCAAGTAGCCATGCCAGTCACACTATCAGGAGGTGACAATGCAGGTTCCTCAGCTTGGGAATAGAGATGAACACCACCTTCAGAGCCGGAAATGAAAGGAGAAGACTTTACCTTTTTCTGTGTTTGTGTTTCATGCAAATATGAGTAGATCAATAGGTACCACCTCAGCAGGAAAGGCAAAAAGACGGTCCATGTAGTCATGATGGCCGCACGACTAGGAGGTATCTATGGACAACACAGGCTTCTCAGTTTAGGAATGGAGATGAGCTTCCCCTTTCATTTCCAGCTCTGAAGGTGGTACTCATCTCCATTCCTATACTGAGAAGCCTGCATTGTCCGTAGACACCTCCTGGTCATGTGGCCAGCATGACTATGTGGAGCGTATTTTTGCCTTTCCCGCTGAGGTGGTGCCTATTGATCTACCTTCAGAGCCAGAAATGAAAGGAGAAGCTTTTGCCTTTGTCTCTGTGTTTGTGTTTCTTTAATGAACACCCCTCGTATTGTGCCTTTGAGGATAGGCAAAATGAACCACACATGGATGGAAGAACATGAGTGAGGATCAGCGATGGTGTGCTCACTTGGCACTCTGTGATATCTAGGAAGATTTGCCCTACTTTTGAGGTTGCCGCCCAGTCATGAAAACCTGATGACTCTCTTGTGAGCATTTTCCAGCACTCCGCACCGGTGAAACAACAGCTCCGCCATTCCCTGGTGTGCACACACACACACACCATGCATCCGCTCAAAGGGCCAATTCATCCTTCCACCCCCATCCCCAAAATAACCCTCCTGGTCTGGGATATTTTAAGCCATCTTAATCCCAGCCCAAGCCCGTGGCACGGGAAATGGCCCAGGTTGCCAACAGCATTGCATCATTGCCTTTGGCAAACGTCCCTTTGCAGGCCTTGGCGGTCACATTGGGAGGCTCGCCGGCTGGTCACCCGCTCTCTCTCGGTTTGTGATGCTTTCAAAGGCATGCGCTCCATTTGTTCACTGTGTCCTACCAACTGGCTGGAGAGGACATCTCCCCTCGGTTCGAAACTCTTGATACTTCCCCGTGGCCAACATTTTCTGATCTGGTTCCAGCATATGCAACGCTGGGGGGATACCATCCTGTCCCTCCCTGGCTCCTTCATCCATGTTCATATCCTCCATTTGATCCGTTCTTGCTCCAGAGATCGTGCTGTGCTCTCATAGCCTTTGTGAGCCCAAAAAGAGAGAAGGAAGGAAGGAGAGAGAGAAAGAGAGAGAGAGAGCATTCAGTCCCAATTCTTGATTTTGAACCTGGTATGGGATGGATCAGCACTTGAGGGCCTAGTTTGGATCAACGCTCACAGGTAGCATGGCCATTGTTCATTCCAAAGGATGAGCAGGAGAAGGACATGGTGGACTTGAGTCCCCAGAATTCCCTCACCAAATTTGAAAAAAAAAATTATTATTATTATTATTATTATTATTATTATTATTATTATTATTAACTAGCTGTACCCGCCACGCGTTGCTGTGGCCAACCTTCCCTCCCTCTTTCTCTCCTTCTTTCTCTCCTTCCTTCCCTCCCTCTTTCCTTCCCTCCCTCTTTCCTTCCTTTCCTCTTTTTCTTTCCCTTCTTCTTTCTTCTTACTTTACCTGTTTCTTTTCTCGCTTCCTTTGCTCTTTGGTTCCATCCTTCCTTGTCTCCTTCTATCCTTCCCTCCCTCTTTCTCTCTTTCGTTCCCTCTCCTTCCTTCCCTCTTTCACTTTTTTATTTCATTCTCTCCCTCCTTCTCTCCTTCCTTCCTTCTCTCCCCTTCTTTCTTTCCTTCTTTCCTCCTTCCTTCCTTTCTTCCCCTTCTTCTTTCCTTCTTTCCCTCCTTCTTCCTTCTCTCCTCTTTTCCTTCTCTTCCTTCCTTTTCTCTCTCCCTCCTTCTCTCCTTCCTTCTCTCCTTCTTCTTTCTTCTTTCCTCCTTCCTTCCTTCCTTCCCTTCTTTCTTTCTCTTTCTCTCCTTCCTTCCTTCTCTACTCCTTTTTCTTTCCTTCTCTCCTTCCCTTCCTCTCCCTCCTTCTCTCTTTCCTTCCTTTTCTATCCTTTTTTCGTTCCTTCTCTCCCTCCTTCCTCTCTCCCTTTCTTTCCTTCTTTTTCTCCTTCCCTCCTTCTTCTCTCCCTCCTTCCTTTCTTCTCTACCCTTTTTTACTTCCTTCTCTCCCTCCTTCTTTCTTTCCTTCCTTCCTCCTTTCTGTGTATGTGTTTTGTGTGTATATGCGTACATGTGTGTATATATGTAGTTTTGTGTATGCGTTGTAATGGGGTTTTTTTAGCTTTTTAAGTCTCTTCTGCTGTGTTTTTCAGTGTTTTTGAGTGATGGTCACTCATTGGCCTGATAGGTGTATTGTGTCCAAATTTGGTGTCAATTCGTCCAGTGGTTTTTGAGTTATGTTAATCCCACAAATGAACATTACATTTTTATTTATATAGATAATAATAATAATATCAAACTGCAAAGACTCTGGCACAAGCCAGTCAAGGTGGTCCCAGTGGTAATCAGCACACTGGGCGCAGTGCCTCAAGACCTTGGCCTGCGCTTAAAAACAATTGGCGTTGACAAAATTGCCACCTCACCTGTCAGCTGCAAAAGGCCACCTTACTGGTATCTGCACACATTATTTGCTGATACATCACACAGTCCTAGAAACTTGGGAAGTGTCCGACGTGTGATCCAATACAATAGCCATCAGAGTGACCTTGTTTGCTGTGTACTCATCTTGTTGTGTATCAAATAATAATAATAATAATAATAATAATAATAATAATAAATATTGAACTGCAAAGACTCTGGCACAAGCCAGTAAAGGTGGTCCCAGTGGTGATCAGCACACTGGGTGCAGTGCCTAAAGACCTTGGCCTGCACTTAAACACAATTGGTGCTGACAAATTTACCATCTGTCAGCTGCAAAAGGCCACCCTACTGGGATCTGCACACATTATTCGCTACATTACACAGTCCTAGAAAAGTGTTCGACGTGTGACCCAATACAATAGCCAGCAGAATGACCTTGTTTGCTGTGTACTCATCTTGTTGTGTATCAAATAATAATAATAATAATAATAATAATAATAATAATAATAATGCAAAGACTCTGGCACAAGCCAGTAAAGGTAGTCCCAGTGGTGATCGGCACACTGGGCACAGTGCCTAAAGACCTTGGCCTGCACTTAAAAATAACCGGCGCTGAAAAAATTGCCTCCTATCCGCTGCACACAGCTAGTGGGATCTGAACACATTATTGGCTGATACATCACACAGTCCTAGAAAAGTGTCCGACGTGTGATCTAATACAATAGCCATCAGAGTGACCTTGTTTGCTGTGTACTCATCTTGTTATGTATCAAATAATAATAATAATAATAATATCGCACAGTCTTCGACGCTTGGGAAAAGTTGGACTTGTGATTTTGTGATACAAAATCCAGCATATAGATCTCGTTTGCCGTGACATACTGTGTTTTTGTGTCAGAAATAATAATAATAATAATAATAATAATAATAATGGAGAAGGGTTACAAACCTGTGTATAAGATTGCTGTTGTTGTGTTATTCAGGGTAAAAGATACTAAACCTGTATAGGAAATAACAACAACAACAACAACAACAACAATAATAATAATAATTGCAAAGACTCTGGCACAAGCCAGTAAAGGTGGTCCCAGTGGTGATCGGCACACTGGGCGCAGTGCCGGAAGACTTGGTCTGCACTTAAACACAATCAGTGCTGAAATGATTACCATCCGTCATCCTACTGAGATCTGCATGCATTATGTGCCAATACATCACACAGGAAGTGTCCGACGTTTGATCCAATACAACAGCCAGCACAGTGACCTTGTTTGTTGTGTGTGCCAATCTTGTTGTGGAGAAGGGCGGAATATAAATAAAGTATTAGTACTACTACTACTACTACTACTACTACTACTATCCTCAGCCACCAAAACGAAAGGTGGGAGCAAGAATTCTTGTCTGTTGGAGGCAGGTGTGAATGTTGCAATTAATTACCTTGGTTAGCATTGCAAAGCCTTGCAGCTTCAAAGCCTGGCTGATTTCTGCCTGGGGGAATCCTTTGTTGGGAGGTGTTAGCTGGCCCTGATAGTTTCCTGCCTGGAATTCCCCTGTTTTCAGAGTGTTGTTTTCAGATGTGTTGTTTTGAGATGAAAGGAGAAGCCTTTGCCTTTTTGTGTTTGTGCTTCGTTGTGTTTCACTTCAACAAGGCATTGAATGTTTGCCTGTGTCTGTTTAAATGCTATAATCCAGTCTGAGTGGAATATAAATAAAATATTACTACTACTACTACTACTACTACTGCTCAATGGAGAGTTTGGTCTACTTTGGTTGTGTGTTTCCTCACATGCTTGGGAAAGAGATGAAGTTGGGTTCCTGTCCTAATATCTGTCTTTTCTTCTTTTCCTTCACTCCTGCTTTCCAAAGAACATAGGAGGCTCCTTGCCGGTAAGTGGTGGCTTTGTCCTCTCTCTTCCCATTTCCCATTTATGACTTCATCCCATCTTTATCTCCATCTATTCTAATTTTTCTGGTTTTGTTGTTGTTTTGGGGCTGCATCTTCTAACATCCCCAGGCAGCAGCTTATTTTTCTGCTCTTCTGTGCTGTTTTGTTAGAGGTCTGAAATTTTCACTACCAGAACTTTAGCAACACGTTAGAAGCAAATCACCAACGCATCCTAGTTCACCACCAGGACTTTAGCAACACTGTAGAAGCAAATCACCACTTCCCCCAGTTCACCATCAGAACTTTAGTAATCCTTTAGAAGCAAATCACCAGCGCCCCCCAGTTCACCATCAGAACTTTAGTAACCCTTTAGAAGTAAATCACCAGTGCCCCCTAGTTCACCAGAACTTTAGTAAAACTTTAGAAGCAAATCACTACTTTCCCCATTTCACCATCAAAACTTTAGTAACCCTTTAGAAGCAAATCACCAGCGCCGCCTAGTTCACCATCAGAACTTTAGTAACCCTTTAGAAGTAAATCACCAGTGCCCCCTAGTTCACCATCAGAACTTTAGCAACCCTTTAGAAGTAAATCACCAGTGCCCCCTAGTTCTCCATCAGAACTTTAGCAACACTTCAGAAACAAATCACCAGCGCCCCCCAGTTCACCATCAGAACTTTAGCAACCCTTTAGAAGTAAATCACCAGCGCCGCCTAGTTCACCACCAGAACTTTAGCAACACTTCAGAAACAAATCACCAGCGCCCCCCAGTTCACCATCAGAACTTTAGTAACCCTTTAGAAGCAAAGCACCAACACCCCCTAGTTCACCACCAGAACTTTAGCAACACTTTAGAAGCAAATCACCCGTGCCCTCTAGTTCACCACCAGAACTTTAGCAACACTTTAGAAACAAATCACCAGCGCTGCCTAGTTCACCACCAGAACTTTAGCAACACTTTAGAAACAAATCAGCACCCCCTAGTTCAGCACCAGAACTTTAGCAACACTTTAGAAACAAATCAGCACCCCCTAGTTCAGCACCAGAACTTTAGCTACACTTTAGAAGCAAATCACCAGCGCTGCCTAGTTCACCACCAGAACTTTAGCAACACTTTAGAAGCAAATCACCAGCGCCCCCTAGTTCATCATCAGAACTTTAGCAACACTTTAGAAGCAAATCACCAGCGCCTCCTAGTTCAGCAGCAGAACTTTAGCAACACTTTAGAAACAAATCACCAGCGCCCCCTAGTTCACCACCAGAACTTTAGCAACACTTTAGAAGCAAATCACCAGCGCCCCCTAGTTCAGCACCAGAACTTTAGCAACACTTTAGAAGCAAATCACCAGCGCCCCCTAGTTCAGCACCAGAACTTTAGCAACACTTTAGAAGCAAATCACCAGCGCCCCCTAGTTCAGCACCAGAACTTTAGCAACACTTTAGAAGCAAATCACCAGCGCCCCCTAGTTCATCATCAGAACTTTAGCAACATTTTAGAAGCAAATCACCAGCGCCCCCTAGTTCACCATCAGAACTTTAGCAACACTTTAGAAGCAAATCACCAGCGCCCCCTAGTTCATCATCAGAACTTTAGCAACACTTTAGAAGCAAATCACCAGCGCCCCCTAGTTCAGCACCAGAACTTTAGCAACACTTTAGAAGCAAATCACCAGCGCCCCCTAGTTCATCATCAGAACTTTAGCAACATTTTAGAAGCAAATCACCAGCGCCCCCTAGTTCAGCACCAGAACTTTAGCAACACTTTAGAAGCAAATCACCAGCGCCCCCTAGTTCACCATCAGAACTTTAGCAACACTTTAGAAGCAAATCACCAGCGCCCCCTAGTTCATCATCAGAACTTTAGCAACATTTTAGAGGCAAATCACCAGCGCCCCCCAGTTCACCATCAGAACTTTAGCAACATTAGAAGTAAATCACCAGTGCCCCCTAGTTCACCATCAGAACTTTAGCAACACTTTAGAAGCAAATCACCAGCGCCCCCTAGTTCAGCACCAGAACTTTAGCAACACTTTAGAAGCAAATCACCAGCGCCCCCTAGTTCAGCACCAGAACTTTAGCAACACTTTAGAAGCAAATCACCAGCGCCCCCTAGTTCAGCACCAGAACTTTAGCAACACTTTAGAAGCAAATCACCAGCGCCCCCTAGTTCATCATCAGAACTTTAGCAACATTTTAGAAGCAAATCACCAGCGCCCCCTAGTTCAGCACCAGAACTTTAGCAACACTTTAGAAGCAAATCACCAGCGCCCCCTAGTTCACCACCAGAACTTTAGCAACACTTTAGAAGCAAAGCAGAGACTCTCTCCCAACACAGTCCCAAGAGTTTTGTGCTGGGATGAGGAGGAGATCAGAGCGAGTGTGCTGAGGGCAGACGCAAGCCATCAAGGGGAAGAGTTTCATGCGCCACCGCTCACATCCTGGACGCTTGCCCGTTCCTCTCGGGAAACCCGTCGCTGGGAATCCCAGAGTGCCAAGGGAGTCTGCATGCATGGGGAGAAGGGGTCGGCTTTGATGAGAGCCGATCTGCCGGCGGCTCCTTTGTTGAGGCACCGCAGCTATGGCGGGCATGCCAGGCAGGGATCTGGAATCTGCCGGGCGCTGCCAAGTTATGTCTTGCCCTTCTGGGAAACGTTTCGCATGCCTTTTGCTTTCATCTGTTGGCTGCAGATGAGTGGCAGGCACATCGCTGCCCACTGGTGTCTGTGACCGGGATACTCAGCTCCCTGCAAAGGAAAAGATGGGAAGTCAATCAAGCATTCGGAATGTTATCCTCAGTTTAGAACTCAATGTTCAGGTGGACTGGATGACCACAAAGTCTCTTCCAACTCTATGAGTCTATGATTCTTGTCTCCAAGCTAAACATATTCTCCTAGGACTTGGCTTCCAGACCGTTGAGCATTCTCTGGACACCACAGGCTCAGAAAAGGTTCCTTTGCTCTGAAGACCACTCTCTTCCAACTCTATGATTCCTTTCTCCAACCTAAAGATATACATCTTCTCATAGGACTTTGCTTCCAGACTGTTGAGCATTTTGGTGACCCTTCTGTGGACACCACAGGCGGAGAGAAGTTTCCTTTGCTCTGAAGACCACTCTCATCCAACTCTCTGATTCCTTTCCCCAAGGTAAACATATACAACTTCTCATAGGACTTGGCTTCCACTCCGTTGAGCATTTTGGTAACCCTTCTGTGGACACCACAGGCGGAGAGAAGTTTCCTTTGCTCTGAAGACCACTCTCATCCAACTCTCTGATTCCTTTCCCCAAGGTAAACATATACAACTTCTCATAGGACTTGGCTTCCACTCCGTTGAGCATTTTGGTAACCCTTCTGTGGACACCACAGGCGGAGAGAAGTTTCCTTTGCTCTGAAGACCACTCTCGTCCAACTCTCTGATTCCTTTCTCCAACCTAAAGATATACATCTTCTCATAGGACTTGGCTTCCACTCCGTTGAGCATTTTGGTAACCCTTCTGTGGACACCACAGGCGGAGAGAAGTTTCCTTTGCTCTGAAGACCACTCTCATCCAACTCTCTGATTCCTTTCCCCAAGGTAAACATATACAACTTCTCATAGGACTTGGCTTCCACTCCGTTGAGCATTTTGGTAACCCTTCTGTGGACACCACAGGCGGAGAGAAGTTTCCTTTGCTCTGAAGACCACTCTCGTCCAACTCTCTGATTCCTTTCTCCAACCTAAAGATATACATCTTCTCATAGGACTTGGCTTCCACTCCGTTGAGCATTTTGGTAACCCTTCTGTGGACACCACAGGCGGAGAGAAGTTTCCTTTGCTCTGAAGACCACTCTCATCCAACTCTATGATTCCTTTCTCCAAGGTAAACATATACAGCTTCTCATAGAACTTGGCTTCCAGACTGTTGAGCATTTTGGTGACCCTTCTATGGACACCACAGGCTCTGAAGACCACTCTCTGTGCCTGCTCCTTTCCCTTGCCTGGTGTCTTGTGCGAAATTTTGAAAAACCTGACCTTTGGAAAGTTAAATTGTATTAGTATTCATACTTGTGATAGGAATGCGTTACGGTATCCAACAGCACCACCTTCTGGCCAAGGAACAGATGGGTGTATCCAGGAATTTGGGATTTATTTGTGCCAAGGTGGGCAAGTGAAGCAGGTCCCAGAGCCACTTTCTGCCCTTGGGATTATATGGACACCCCGCAGAATGTCACAATCAAATAGAATAAGCCCTGAAGTGAATGGAAGTACTTATCTGGTGTAGAAAGAGAAAATGCTGAGAGATCCTTTTGTTGTTATTGTTGTTGTTGTCTTGCCATCTGTGGGAGGCTTCTCTCATGTCCCCACATGAGAAGCTGGAGCTGACAGATGGAAGCTCACCCCGCAACTCGAGAAACTTGAAGTTGCTTCTGCTGTGAGAAATTGGCCGTCTGCAAGGACGTTGTCCAAGGGACGCTCAGATCTTTTGATGTTTTACCATCCTTGTGGGAGGCTTCTCTCATTTCTCTGCATGGGGAGCTAGAACTAAGGCGGGAGCTCACCCCGTTCCTCCGATTCGAACCGCCGACCTATCGGTTGGCAGTCCTGCTGGCACAAGGTTTAACCCGTTGCGCTACTGGGGGCTCCTGAGCGATCAATGATAGCCAGGAACTCTGCAACTGCTTTTGAAGGAGAATTACTTCTCTCAGATCAGGCATGTCCAAAGTTCTGCCTGCGGGCCAATTGTGGCCCCAGTTCAGATTTCCACTGGCCCTCTCCCTCCAGGTCACCATTAATTCCTTCCTCCTTTTCCTCCTCAACTTCCTTCATCTCTTTGTTCCTTCCTTGAGTATTGGAGTTGTAGTTCACCAACATGCAGAGAGTACTGTGGACTCAAACAATCTGGACCAAACTTGGCATGAATACTCAATAATACTGTGGGCACAAACAATGATGGATCTGGACCAAACTCTACACAAATACTCAATATGCCCAAATGTAAACACTGGTGGAGTTTGGGGAAAAC